AGAGCCTATCACTTTGACTGCTAGTGAGAAATTCTTCAGTGTGGGTTTCCAAGCCATAGAAATTGATGTGACATGGGCTAATGAATGAAAGAACAATGGGTGGGTCCTGCCTCAGCCGGTCCCACATCTCTCCAAAACGTTTGTCAAACCAAGATACATAGAGGAAGAAGATGAGGCTTTTACGACCGAAGAAATTGAGGATATATGTGGGGAAATGAGGCAAATGTTATATGAGGCTCACATGGTCCAGCCGGGTGAAGGATCAAGCACTACTAAAGTGCAATATATGGGGCCCGATGCCAAGCTACAAAATTGGAAGGCTACTCTATTCCAGTCAGGCGGGAATCTCGGTAGTTCAGTCTTGCCATCTTTTATGCATTTCGAGTTATTTTAGGGTGTAACTCGAATGTTTTTAGTTTACTGTCTTTAAAATTCCAATGTAAACCCTTCGATCTTCAAATTCAATGAAATGAAATCAATATTTCATCGTGTATAAATCTCTTTCTTTATTCTTTCTAATTTTATTATTTTTTCTTATTTCTTCTTTCAGTTCTAATAATGCGGACTTAAATAACATGACATGCTTGCGGACTTCATGCCCAGATCCTAACACGCTGTCTAACTGTGAAATAATGAACCAATAACCATAATATGATGATGATGAGGCTTTTAGGGAAATAAACCGAGAATTGGAACAATTTGAGAATACGCCTAAGACAAACTTAAATGAAACTGAGCCAGCTAATTTGGGTAGTTCGGAAGAGGTCCGGGAAACCATGATAAGCATTCACACTTATGAAAGAACTAGGGATGCATTGATCCAATTTTTGTTCGAATTCAAAGATGTGTTTGCCTGGTCCTATGATGATATGCCAGAACGAAGTGTTGATTTAGTGGTGCACATATTGCCAAGTTACACCGGATATACCCCTGTCCAACAAAAGTAGAGAAAGTTTAAAATGGACATCAGTGACAAGATTAAAGAGGAAGTCACCAAATAGTTGAAATTGGGTGTGATCCGAGTGGTACGATACACCACATGGTTGGCTAATGTGGTCCTAGTGCCAAAGAAAGATGGGAAAACCCGAGTATGTGCTGATTATCGGGATTTGAACAAAGCCAGCCCCAAGGACAATATTCTATTACCAAACATCCACATCCTTGTTGACAGCTGTGCCAAACATGAGATACAGTCTTTCATGGATTGTTATGCTGGGTATCATCAAGTTCTGATGGATGAAAAGGATGAAGAAAAGACGACTTTCACTACACCTTGGGGTACTTACTGTTACAGGGTCATGCCGTTTGGTTTAAAGAATGTTGAGGCAACTTACATGAGAGCTATGACTGCCATCATTGACGACATGATACACCAGGAAATTGAGGTGTATGTGGATGATGTGATCATTAAATCAAGAACGCAGGAGCACCTTGTGCGGGATCTGAGGAAGTTCTTTAAGCGTCTGCGCAAGTATGACTTGAAATTAAATCCAGCTAAATGTGCATTCGGAGTTCCGTCTGGGAAACTTTTGGGGTTTATAGTTAGTCGGAGGGGAATTGAGCTAGATCCAACAAAGATAAAGTCTATTCAGGATTTGCCTCCTCTAAAAACCAAGAAAGAGGTTATGAGTCTGCTGGGTAGGTTGAATTACATAAGCAGGTTCATTGCTCATTTGACTTCCATTTGTGAGCTTATATTTAAGCTGTTGAAAAAAGATGCGGTGATTAGATGGACATATGAGTATTAGGAAGTTTTCGACGAAATCAAAGAATATCTGTCAAATCCGCCAGAGTTGGTTCCACCCGAGCCTGGAAGGCCTTTGTTTTTGTACTTGACAGTGTTGGAAAACTCTTTTGGATGTGTTCTCAGGAAATATGATGTGACCGGCAAGAAAGAACAAGCCATATACTATTTGAGCAAAAAAGTTCACTAGTTATAAAGCCAAGTACACTTTGTTAGAAAGAATTTGTTGTGCCTTAACTTGGGTTACTCAGAAGCTTAGACATTACTTGTTGGCCTACACCACCTATCTCATCACCAGATTGGATCCTTTGAAGTACATATTCCAAAAGTCGATGCCCACAGGAAGGTTAGCAAAATGGCAAATCCTGCTCATCGAGTTTGACATAGTCTATATCACCCGCACGGTAGTGAAAGCTCAACCCTTGGCGGATCATTTAGCTGAAAATCCTATTGATGATGATGTCACGCCCCGAACCTGGGGGCGAGGCCGGCACCTGGTGCCTCACCTAACCTTGTGTACCAACTTGTAACTAAGGGACTCTGAACATATAATGTTATAATTTGGCCATGGGGCCACATTGCAAGACAAACCGCAAAGCAAAATATAAAACTAAATGAAAACTAATCCTGACTAAACATTAATATAAAGCTGGGCCGATAAGGCCGTCATAACTACTACAGCTGACAAACCAACAAAATATACATATAAGGCCTACAAGCCCAACATACTGCACTAACTGACATGATATGTCTACAAGCCTCTACTGATGGATGTATTGTGATCAGAACAGGGCCCCGACCTACCCATAACATATATACATATATACATAAGATGTACATAAAACTCTAGACTCGGCAACTCCGAAGGACGTAGAGCTTACCGATAAGGCTGAACTCGGGACACACCTACTAAGGAGGTATACCCGTCTGTCTGTTTGAACATACATTCATGAAATGCAGCGCCCAAGAAAAGGGACGTCAGTATGAAATAATGTACCGAGTATGTAAGGTGATAAAATAACCGAAAGCTGAAACTGAACTGATAACATAATGACTGAAAGTAACTAGAAGTCAAAGATGATCTGGAGACATACTTACCTGCTGATACTGACTCAACTCTCTCAATATAGTAAGTAAAATAAATGTCCGGCCCTATAAGGCTCGGAACATGTAACTGCTCTACCATAGTAGGCTCGCTCATAGGCGCTCGACCATACTAGGCTCTGTATCTCGGCCATTCTAGGATCGCTCATTGGCGCTTGGCCACAATAGGCTTGGTATATAACTTACCATCTGATCAGAGGTTGCCAAATAGGGGCCTGCCCATCGATTATAGCTCGATGGTAGTGAAAATACTGTAATACTATGTATATATATATATAGAGAGAGACCCTCTGCTCTCTTGACTGGAAGAAGACAATACTCAATTGAATATAAAGTTTCGATAAGGGAAAATAGTGTAACTTATGAGACTAGGATAATGTACATAAATTCGGGAGTATAAACTTCTCTTTATGCCTCGTCATCAAACACATTTAGTTATGAGATCATGCCAAAATGAAGGAAGGGCTTAGCCTTAACATAACTTATCACAATTTTTCCAATAACCAAGTTTAAATCACCTCTTCGCACTTTATTCTACAACAACGATAATAATAATATCATTAAGTTGTGAAAGGTACAACTATCGCACAACAAACGACAAGCTTATTTTGTATAAAAACGAGCAGCATCTCCCTTATAATCCTTACTTCCTCCAAATTAAAGATAACACCAAAAACACAAGAACACAACAACAACAACAACATATATACATTAATTTCCATCCTTATATACACCATAAAATAATACAAAACATCCCAACACACTGCAATCTATTCATACACAAAACGACCACCGTAGTAGCGTCAAACTACCCAGGAATGTTTCGACGAACGACCATCCCACCACCCTACATCTCTATGATGTTTCTCCACACCCTTACTCCTCGAAAACTCCACAAAACAGTACTAAAACACGCAGCCCAACAGCAACATAAAACAATCCAAAAAACAGTCTGCTACAAGTGAATAACTCGAACTCACGGCTTCCGATTACCGTCCCGTGAGTTCTTGCAGGTATAGAACGAATTACCATGAATTTACAACAGAAAAAATTGATTAAAGAGAGCAGTAAACTTACCTTCTTTGTTGGATAACTCAACCCTTATATTGGTTCTTCAAACTTTAGGTTTTACCTCCAATTAGAACTTGAAAGGGAGAGAAATTCAATTAGGGTTTGTGGGTAATTTTTGGGAGGAAGTTTGCAGGGGTTTAGGTCTATTTATTTGTGATATATAATGAGGTTTATATTTTAGTAGATAAGCCCTTAAAAGGGCTCTTTGGATGACCCGAAATTGCCTCTTTTTGGGCTCTCATTTAACCAAGTAGGTGACACACCTACTTGTCACCTAGCAGCCTGCGCAGTCTTGCAAAAATGCATATATGTCTGTATGACAAGGTCGTATTGATAAACAGTTTAATGTGTTAGAAAATAGACTCATAGATCTTCAATTTGATGGGTGGAACAGCCCATGACTCTACGTATATTGGGAAAAAATTGCAATTACATTTGACCCAAAGTTTCAGTAAAACTTATGAATGTAACTTGTGATGAATTTCAGCGACTTTTGTTCCACAACTCGCTTGACATCAAAACATAACACACGACTATCATACGACTAATATAATTCATAACATAACCTCCTTATCATGTTAAGCACCCTAGTATGACCCCAAAAGTACATATTATACATTCCCATCTTGTTGACTTTCGACGAAACATTGTTTTCTTCCATTCCTTTAGCTTCTGAACCTTCTAAACCGCTTTGTACTTGTTGTTCATGATCTTCAATATTTTTAACCTCCGAGGTAACATGATTTACTTACTTTATATACTTTAAAATATTATCTCATTTTTTGTCCTACATTAGTTTGCTTACGACACACTTTTACCTATGCAAATATAAGGTGTAATAGATGAATATCAGCCTTTGAGTACATACTTTCCAGACGAGGAAGTAAATTCAGTTGAGGTAATTACAGAAGACACCAATGCTTGTAAAATGTTCTTCGACGGAGCTGTAAATACAAAAGGTGTCGAGATTGGGGAAATTTTATTTTTGCCCACTGGTCAGCACTATCCGGCCACATCCCGGCTTTGATTTTTCTGTACGAACAACATTGCTGAGTATGAAGCCTGCATCATGGTCATGAACATGACAGTCGATCAGGATGTGGAAGAATTGTTAATCGTGGGAGATTCTGACTTGATTATTCGACAAGCTCAAGGTGAATGGGGTACTCGAGATATCAAGCTTATCCCATACAAGCAACATGTGGAAGATCTTAGCAAGCAGTTCAAATCCGTCGAGTTCAGGTACATTCCTCGGTTTCACAATGATTTAGTCGATGCACTAGCTACTTTGGCCTCAATGCTTCCATATCCAAGCAATGTCCACATTGACCCACTGGAAATCCAAATTCGAGAAAGACATGGTTATTGCAAAGCAGTTGAGATAGAACCAGATGTTCATCCATGGTATCATTATATCAAAAGATTCTTGAAAACAAAGGAATATCCCAAACAAGTTAGTGGAGACCAAAAGAGAACCATTAGAAGGCTCGCTAGTAGTTTCATTTTGAGCGGAGAAGTCTTGTATAAAAGGACTCTAGATCTGAACCTTTTAAGATGTGTGGATGCCCAAGAGGCAAGAAGGATCATGAATGAAGTGCACACATGAGTGTGTGGACCCCGCATGAATGGATATGTCCTTGCAAAGAAAATCCTTTGGGCGGGTTATTACTGGATGACTATGGAAAATGATTTCTTCAGTTTTGTCCGAAAGTGTCATCAGTGACAGGTACACGGCGACTTGATTCATGCACCTCCTTCAGAACTGCATCCTATGTCTGCACCGTGGTCGTTCGTTGCTTGGGGCATGGATGTCATTGGGCCAATCGAGCCGAAAGCTTCAAATGGGCACAGATTCATCTTAGTTTCCATTGACTATTTCACGAAGTGGGTTGAAGAAGTCACTATCAAAGCTGTCACCAACAAAGTAGTGGTGGACTTCGTGCATTCCAACATTATCTGTCATTTTGGTATTCCTAAAACTATCATTACGGACAATGCCACAAATTTGAACAGTCATTTGATGAGGGAGGTATGCGATAAATTTAAGATCACGCATCGAAATTCTACCCCTTATCGGCCCAAAGCTAATGGTGCTGTTGAAGCAGCGAACAAAAATATCAAGAAGATCCTTAGGAAAATAATCCAAAGTTCTAGACAATGGCATTAAAAGTTGTCGTTTACATTGTTAGGATATCACACAATTGTTGCGCACATCAGTTGGAGCAACACCCTATCTATTGGTTTAAGGCACTAAAGCTATAATACCCGCAAAAGTTGAAATTCCATCTCTTCGAATCATCGTCGAAGCTGAGATTGAGAAAAATGAATGGGTCAAGACTCGTCTAGAACAATTAACCTTGATTGATGAAAAGCGGATGGTCGCAATTTGCCACGGGCAATTGTATCAACAAAGAATGGCCTGCACCTACAACAAAAAAGTATAGCATAGAAACTTTGAAGTAGGGCAACTCGTTTTGAGATGTATTCTCCTGCATCACAAGGAAACAAAAGGAAAGTTCGTCCCAAACTGGAAGGGTCCGTACATTATAAGAAAATTGTTGTCAAAAGGGGCATTGTACTTGGGAGAAATTGAGGGAAATGACCCTGAAACAACTGTCAATGCAGACGCGGTCAAAAGGTATTACGTTTAACCCTTCTGCGGTATAGAAATTCTCCGATTGGGATGATGAAGGCTTTCATTCTTGCTACCCAAACACTTTTAGCCTTTTTCAAACCCTTTGAGTCGGTTACCTTTCTTAGACTACACTCTTTGGAACTCGAAAATGTTTGGAAAAAAAAGAAGAAAAGACAAAACAAAACAATAAAAACAAAAAGAAAATCAAAAACAAAGTTCTCTGAATTACGTTTAACTTGATTCTGAAATGATATGTAGACAGCCTCTCTCTGGGGTTCAGTCACACCAAAACAAAAATCCACATTTTCCCAAAAGTTGAAACTGGGGCAAAATTTATAATGGTTCGACGACGGTTCGCCTGAAAGTTTCCAAAGTTGTAATTCAATCCAAACTCTTTTTAACCTAAATCTTGTTCAAAGTCCTTCTTCTCAATTGTTGAATAAGATGAATTGGATGATGTTGGTTACTTGGATCTGATACAATTAAATAAGAGAAATAAAATGAGAGAGTCTTATTGGTAAAAACCCACATGGGCACGGTAAGGCAATAGTGAGCAGAGAAATTTAAAATGAGAGAGTCTTGTTAGTGAAAAATCACAAAAGAGCACTATAAGGAAATGGTGAGAAGAGAAATGATAGAGGTCGGTTGGTGAAAACCCACAAAGGGCGCCACTGATCGAAAAAGGAATCCCTTACAACTATCGGCACTGATAGAGTCCTGGCAAGGTTTCTCAGTTTTGAGGTATGGGTTATGATGGTTTTATGAGAGTCTGGATGGTTTGCGCACATCGGTTATCCAGTCCAAGAAGCATGTCATGTCTATTAATGTCTGCATGCATTCCAGATAACTCCTCTTTTCTTTTTACCGAAAGGGACACTTCTCGTTTAAATTCATTATCCTGTCCGTTGTTTACTTTTCTTTGAATCCCTTTCGGTCTAATTCTCCTCCAAAAAGAATGCAAAGAAAAGATGGCAAGATTGGTATTACAGTGCTTTGTCTAATAGAAAGCTAAAATTCCACAAAAAGAACCAAGCCTCAGCAGGTGCATCAAGTCGATCTCGACTAGCCATGTTGGCCGATTGTCCAGAGTGAAAACTTTTGAAAATAAAGGAAATCAAAGTCAAGTGCCCATAAAGATAAAATAAGAAGGAAAAAGGCCAAGCCCCACCTGGGTTAATCAATAGGTGGAATTTGGGGAAAATCAAGTCCTCCGGGGTTTAGAAATGAAACCAATTTCTAGAGAGTCAGCGAGCAATGGAGATTTTTATTGAAAGAGTTGGGCCGAGATCAAGTGATTGAAACAATCAAGGCCACAAAACCAACCACCGTTTTAAACTGACAAATTGTTCTTTGATTTGAAAACAGGAAAAATAGGTGCAGCCCAAAGCGACATTGCAAGAAGCAGGTGCAATAAAAGCAAGGTGCGCAAAAACCAAAACAGTTCTGCAGCAAAAGTTAACCGAAAAAGGGAAGTCCCTTTTCAAAGTCTTCTTTTATTCTCCTAAATAAAATGAAAACTGAAAATAAAAAAAGAAGAAGAAGAAAGATTCAAAACCAGGGTAGTATAGGGTCTCCAATATCTAGCTAAGTTTTTCCAACATAGAGTCTCATTCCCTAGTTGTTGCCACCATAACCTGGTAGTCTTTTCCAACATAGGGTCTCACCCCCTTGTTAATCCCCGACATAACTCGAGTAGCTTTCCGACATAACCCGATGACTTTTCTGGCATAACCCAAGGACCTTTCCGGCATAAACCAATGACCTTCCCCGACATAACCCGAGGACCTTTCCGGCACAACTCGATGACTTTCCCGGCATAACCCGAGGACCTTTCTGGCATAACCCGATGACCTTCCCCGGTATATCCCGAGGACCTTTCCGGCAGCCTGATGACTTTCCCGGCATAACCCGATGATTTTACCGGCATAACCCGAGGACTTTCCGGCATAACCCGATGAATTTCTCGGCATAACCAAGATCTTTTCCGGCATAACCCGATGACTTTCCCCGTCATAACTCAGGGACCTTTTCCGGCATAACCCGATGACCTTTTCCGGCATAATCCGATGAATTTCCTGGCATAACCTGGGGAACTTTTTCGGCATAACCCGATGACTTTCCCGTCATAACCCGAGGACCTTTTCCAGCATAACCCGATGACTCTCCCGGCATAACGCGATGACCCTTTCCGGCATAACTTGAGGACCTTTCTGGCATAACTCAATGATTTTTTCAATATAACCAGGTAATCTTTTCCAACATAGGGTACCACTCCCTAGCTGATTCCAGTATAACCTGGTAGTTTTTTCTAGTATAGGTTCTCACTCCCTAGTTGATGCCAGCATAACCTGGTAATCTTTCCAACTTAGGACCTTCGATCCCCATTTGATTTCATTTTAGATATAGGGCTCCACTCCCTAATCTCTTTTCTCCCAAGGATATACAATCCTGATTTTGTTGCTTTCAATAAAGAAATAGTTTAGATTTTTGTTGTGATAACTCACGAAATTTTCCTAGTGAAAACGGAGGCAGAAAAATTTTGTTAGTTTGTTTATTTTGGTGCCTGAACAGATTGCTACCATAAGGAATGAGGTTGAGATGACCAAAAGAAGAAGTCTCAATCCGAATAAAAGAAAATAAAACAAGAAAAGAAGTTGAACTTTATGTGTGGAAGCGGAAGAAAGATGCGGACTGCTCAAGATACGATTGAAGTCACAAGTTTTGCATGTCCCGCCTTGATCCAAAAAGCTGAAGAAGAATGAACTAGTGGTTGCAGCTAATGAGCATCAAGATTCAGATCAGAGTCTGCAGGAAGAACCAGCCAAGACTCGAGATCAAGCTTTAGATGGTTTATCGATAGGAGTCTTGTAACTCATAGTTAATAGGCTTAGCTAGTTTAGCTTTTCATCTTTCATTTTGGTGTAATAAGGAGCTCAGCAAGTAGAAACAACAGTGAAATCACAGTTTCTCGGTAGTCCCAGCAAGCAAAACTTCTAGAACTACACTGACGTAATTCCTTTATAGCCAATGATATGTAGGAAACCTCCGAATCAAGGTTCGGTCTGACTTTTTCCAAAAACAATGCTTCCCATGGAGTTTCAAACGGTCAAAAATCGCGCGTAATTGCTCATTTTAATTTTTTCCAAAAACCCTTCGTGCTTTCGAGCAAAGAGGGGCAGCTGTAAGCATGTGATTTTTTCCCTATTCAAAATACTCCTATAAAATTAAAGAAATAGATTTTTCCCAATTATTTGCAAATTTTATAAGATTTTTGTAGGATTTTATTAATTGTTTATATTTTTGTACACATTTAATTCTGTTAAAAATTATGAAAAAATACCATGCATGACATTTAGATTTTGTTTTCATATTTTTAGGATTAATTAGTTAATTAATTGCTTTATTAAAATGAAAATCGCAAAAAATTAATATATCATTCATTTACATTTTTAGCCTTTAATGCTAAATTATTAATTTTCTCTCCTTTAATTTAGGATCAATCAATTTTTATAAATATTATAATAGATAATTAGTGTAATTTTACAATTTTGATTAATTTAGAATTTTAATTTTAGAAAAAGAAAAAGAAGAACTAAGAAAAAGGAAATAAGAAAAAGAATTGAAAAAGGGGGTTTTTATTATTTTGAAACTGGGCCAAATTATATAACCAATTCGTCCAAACCCAAGCCCAAAATTCAAATATACCCGCTCTAATCCCCTTGGTCGTGAAACGGTGTCGTTTGATTTTGTTTAATCCCAACCATTGATCTTCAATGATCTAACGGTTGGGAACTCAGTCCCCTTTACTCCATAACTGTCCGAAAAGCCTTCCCCCCCAACCCTAGAGATTAATTCCCATTCCCCCCGTCTCTAACCTAAACCTAGCCGCCCTCAAACGCTCCCAATTCCACACGGCCTAAACCCTAGCCGCCGCCCACCGTAAATCATTTCATGGCGGCGGCCAGTCTCTA